CCCACAGCCACCATGCGTCTCTCATGGATAAGGAGGGAGAGACAGCAAGGAAAAGTCAGAAAGGACCACATCACCTGTACTGGAAGAGTGCTCCAAGTTCATGTCCCATGTAGCAACACAAGCTAGTGAAACACTGAGGTTTGGAGCTGACTCACTTGGACTAGAAGTTTCTTATTCCCTCTAAGCCTCAAAGTCTTCACCTATGAAATGAAAAACCCCAACTTATTTCATTTGGAAGACGCACTGGTATGTTTGTAAACCGCCTAGCACAGTACCTGGTGCATAATAGGTGCTCAAATATCATGGGCATTTTTTCTCTCACTATTTCAAGCCCATGGCCAGTGGACACACGGCAAGGGCAAAACCAAATATAGCTTGGAAATGTGGGCACTGGAGTTGTTCACTTAACCCTGGAAGACCGGTCGCAATGTCTGAATTTAGTGTTTCATCTAAATGATGTGACATCATTGCTGCCCAGCCTCCGGGAACATGCAATCGGGATCAGATAGAATTGTGCAGGTGAACGTGAGAACAACACGGGGTTGTTGGAAGATGCTCTTTTCGGGTTGTAGCACAGGGGGCTCCTCTGCCTGCCAGACCATGAACCTGCCCCAGTGAACACGGGTGAGTGTCTGGCCACGCAGGGAGCCTGTCCCCACGGGACCTGTGGTCCTGAGCGTGGATTTCAACCCAGCCACTATCAACCACACTTGGTCCCACAAACGAAAGGAAAACAGGAAAGACGTCAGGTTGGATCTTCCAGAAGGTCTTTGTTGCGATTTTCTCCATTATTGAAAAAAATTACATCATCAAATAAAGACAGTAGCAGCACAGCTTCTTGAAATGTTACAAAGCAAGTTTGCTTTTGTCCTTTTCCTAAGAACATTATGCATCATGAAATTCCCTCTTACCCCCACCCCCACATTATTTTCTGTAAAATGCCTTTTTTTTTTTTAAAGCACCATGAAATCCTACAGAGAGAAAAAGTAGGTAAAACACCTCCACACATGGGTTTAGCGTCGTCGTTGTCACCGGGTCCCCCGCCTGTGACTCTGGGATGGGGAAAGAGCCCTGACACTGGCATATGGGTTGGTTTGCATATGTCTTCTGGGCACCACGCACCTTCTCCCTTCCAGCTCAGTGCCCTGGTGGGAAAGGAGAGGTTTTCAACTTTCTTCTGCAGCACAGGTCTGCTGTATCAACGGGGTGGGAATCCTTGCAAGGGTTTTCGTTTGGGTTTTTTTTTCAATGCACAGGGAACTATTTGAGATTTGTCTCTTAAGAACTGAGAACAGAGAGTAGATTCCAAATCTCTTAGGCACCTGTGAAAATGATACTCACGTTCAGTAAAATCAGAGACACCTCTTATTTCTCCTCGATGCCACTACACTGATGTCACATGACTTAGGGTCTGCCATGGAAGGGCTGAGGTTTACACGGACAGTGGACAGGTTGGTGAAGTACAAGGCAGCTGGTTTATGGTGCAAGGACAGAGGGTAGGGCTGTCTTTGCCGCCATGCCATTGGCCTACCATTCGAGAGTTTCCTTATGCAGAATCAACAGCATCCACAATGCCAAGTGGAAGTCACTCTGTTTCAGAGGGTTATGATTTTTTACTTGTTTAAGGCCATGACTAACTAGCTCTTACATTATGTCACCAAAAAGCGCCCTCTGCTCACACAGCCACTGCCTTGCACACAATTGCACCACAACAGCGAGGAAGAATAACCCCCACGTGAAACATTAGCGGATTCAGAAAGCGGAGACATGGACTGGCTCTTCCCTCTCTTTAGAGAGTCTTTGCAGGCTTGTGTGTTGCCCTCTGCCTTCCCCGGGTTCATGGTACACATTGGATGGTCTACGATGTGACCCCGCCCAGTGAGGAAAAACTTACTCTATCCAAATTCTGGCCACGTTCTCACTTATTTCCCAAACCAAGCACACAAATAGATGAGCGCTCGCGGCACTGACTCAGCCGGGAAGTGATATCATCTCCCAGGAAGGCAAGGGGGTGTCTGCTAACGTCTAGCACAAGGACTTTCAACATGGAATGTTCCTCAAAGAACGCAAAGTGGCTATTTCCTGGGAGTGTGCATGTGTGTGCATGCGTGTGTGTCTGAGCCAGAGACATCTATAGTAAATGAATGCATGAAGTAATCAAAGGGAACCTTTACTTCCACTGACTGCAAATAGCAACAGCTTAAAATTCTTCAAATAGTCTTCACACCATGCAGAAAATGCCCGCACAGCATGAGCCTTCCGGGTGACAGTGTGCCGTAGAGGAGGGCAGGCTGGGCCCACACAGGGCACAGTCCTAATTTGGACGCCAGCTTCTCAACTACATCTGGTCTCCATCAATCAGCCAGAACACAAATCCCAAAGAACAGGAGACTAAGCCCTCGTCTTAGCCTAAAATAAGTGAGCCCATTAGTCAGCATCCACCACTCCAGCTAATAAGTTCGATTAAGTCATAGGCCCGGAAATGTCGGTCAGAGAACTGCAAAACCAAAAGGCCCTTGACAGTTGTCTCTGTTCAACTCCTTCAATGTGCTGAGGAACTAGCAGAGATGCAGGCGTGGGGCAGAGGGGCCCACACTCCCAGGCTAATAATCCCAGTCACCCTCACTGCAGGCCACGGACACCCCTCCCTACACACACACTCAGGCCTGACCCCCAAAGGGATAAGTTCCTAGAGTCCAAACTGGGTTGGGACTGTGCATCGAGCTACATAGTCTCTTCAAATTACCCCTTGGCTCTCACCAAGAAACTTCCAGATCTGTTTGGAAGCAAAATTCAGGACCTAAGGACCAGGTGACGTGAAAGACACCACCCACTAAAGACACTGAACATGGGCCCTTTCTGTGTGCAGAGACAGCACGTCTATTCCGGGGGGGGGGGGCAGGGTGTGGTGCGCAGGTTCAAGGGCGGTACTGTGCTGACAGGCACTGAGACTTCATAACGGCCTTGTCTTACCCACATGCTTTCTACATGCTATTTGGCCCCTTCTTTAGAAAGTCACATGCAAGCAACTTCAAACTAACTGGACACCCCCCAAATCTTCATGTGTACACACGAAGAGGAGTCTAGCCTCCTATTCCCGCTCAGCTTCTCTTTCGGAGATTACATTATAGTTCGTCAGCCACTTTGCCCACACATGAATCAATCACTCTTCCTAGAGGGAGGGGTCTTCTTTGGTTTTATCCGCCAGGGCCTTGGGCTCATCTATCCTCGGGGAGAGAGTTACGTATATTAGAGACTCCCCACTCTCAGTCAAGGGCTGTTTTCCACCCCTTCACATTACTGTGATCTCACTCAGCTGGAGAGGCGTCTGTGCCCACACCATCCCCTGTTCCATTTGGTAGAGAATGTGGCTTAGTGCTCAGAATTGTCTCATTCCTGCTGTATGCAGAGTTCCTGCAAGGTAAGCAAGTAAAGTGCAAAAGAGTGCTTTCAAAGGGCATTTTTAACAGTACAGAGAGGGTGCCACACACAGTATTCCCCAAACTGAAACCCAAACCAGAAACACGTCCAGTGAGTGTCTGCAAGGCCGAGACACTGTAAGCCCGTTTACACAAAGACCTTGTACCCTCTCGTTAGTAGAGATCTTCTCCCATCTCTGTGTGCTCTGTCCATGAAACTAGAAAGACACACGTGTACACAAACAAATACACACACACTCACAAGGGCGCACAACATGGGCATTGCAGCAAAGGCGAGAGCAGACTTTGGTCAGGCAGGTCGTGAATACCAGCTCTGCCACTTCCTTGCTGTGTGCCATTGGGCAAGTCACTCAGCCTCCCTGAGCCTCCTTGTCCTCGTCTGTGCACGGGGTTTGCAAACACCTCCCACAGAGTGTTGCTGTGAGGTTTCAGTGAGCCAACGTCCATAAAGTGCCTACTCTGGCGCGGGAAGCCTCTTTGCCAGATTCATCTGCCGGGCCTAGAATTTTAACATCCTACTGTAAAGAAGGTACCAAGTAATAGTAGAGCGTGGAAACCCAAATGAATGAGATCCACGGACAGTTTAATCTGGAGGCTTTTCACTTGACGGACTAAGAGAGAAAGCCCCAATTAACTACCAATTTCTTACAACACAGTTCTTCAGGCTGCAGTGGTCCCGGAGAAGAACCATTGTCCGCACCTGCGCAAACGTCGTGTCTGAAGTATGTGTCCATTGATATGTGGACACAGGATGTCACCAGTGAGCCGCACCTCCTGGCCCGCGGAGGCGTCCACCCAAACCTACCTTGGACAGCAAGGGTCTCCTCAAAGTTGATTCTTATTTGGCTCCTTCCCCAAAACAATGCCAGGACTTTAATTAGAGCCTAAACGTTTGGGTCAGGGGTGGGGGCAGGGTTCTGCCTGTGCTCCGGGCAAGGGAGAGCTGTGCCTTTGGGGGAAAACAGCCAGAAAGAAGTCTCCCATGGTACCGGTGGTCGAGGATGTGGCGCGTATCATTTTCCCTGGAAGTTTCTGATGACCCTCTGATCTCGTGACAAACCCACTTGTGCGTAGGTCGTGTGAAATGCCCTAAGGGTGGCACTGAGCATTGAAGGCCCTTAAAGAGCAACGCTCTGCTGTTCCCAGGGCAAAATGCCTCAGTGCGGGACCCAAATAACTCAGTTCGAACCGGTACAAGGACGAGCCAATTATGAAAAAGGCTGAGGGGCTCACGCGGGGTGGTTGGCCCAGAACGGATTTTTCCCTTTCTGATAAAAATCCATTTGAAATCCTCCTCTCGAAACTTAACGACTAGCCATCCCCCGACTTCCTTTCCCTGATGTTCTAACCTCGTAGAGAAATTACAATCACCACGTGTTGGTTATTGTTTGACTTGAAACAACCACCTGGGCGTTTCCGTAGGTGTCGTGATAGCGGGTAGAGATAAAGAAACAAGCAAGGAAAAGAACGCTTTCGAAATAAAGGCAGGCCCAAACGTAAAAGTAAAATATTTGAAATACTTCTTTTAAGAATTATTTTTTAAATGGCATTAATGGCACTTAAGCTGCAAGCAATTAAAACGATTCAGTCCTCTTGTACAAGAGTTGGTTGAGGGATTCATTTTCCTTTTGTTTGGAGATAGCAAGGTTGGCTCTTATAACTGTGTCTACCCTAAGACGCCCAGAGGGACAAAAAGCCCTGAGATGGAATGATGCCATGGTCCTCCTTGGTGTGTCTCAGACATGCAGGATGTCTATTTTCATAAAAGTTTGGGATCGGTTAGAACAGCAAGCCGCTGGCATCATGCAAGGCGAGAGTTTTGGTATTCTTCCCCCCTCTTATCAAAAGTTATAACTGGAGTTCCGCTAGAAAAGGGAACATGAACATTTCAAAACCAGTTTATTTTCACCATTGCACCCACTGAGGAAAATGCATGATTTTTGCCTGCAACCATGCAGCTGTTGAGGTTGGGTTTTCACCAATGCGTGCAAGATCGTCTGGACTGCCTACCCCTGTGAGAAAGATCAAATTCAGGAGGCTTCTGTCCTTGGTTGAGGTGATATCCACAGTGAGATGCTTGTGACCATTTTTTTTCTTTTGAAATGAGGAAAGCAACTGCACCTTTTAATATGTGTGCTGTGATCTGCTTCCAACCAATCCCCGGTGCTCTCAAGTCCCACGGACATGAGAAAGGCTAGGTACGCACTGAATCGTTTGAATCAGAATTCAAGCTCAGAGCTACCTGCTAAAATGCCAGCTCAAACCCTAGTACAGGTACCAGTTCACCCCCAATCCAGTCCCCTTCTGTGTGTGCATAGGTCAGTCATTAATGGTAGGTTTGGGAAGTGAGATTCCATGCGAAAGACACACCCGTTCCTTTCAGAAGGCTGGTCTAAGGAATAGCTGCCCTTGCCTGTGTGCCGTCCAGGGCGGCACTGCACGGGGGTACAGCATCACCCCCGCCCCCCAGCAACGCGCCCTTGACATTTGCAGCCATGACCTACGATGGATGCAAACACTCCCTGGGTGTCCTACTGCCGCTGTGGGAAGTGCAGTCCTTGTTCTTTGATTCCTTTTGGCAGAGCAAGCTTTCTCAGTCCTCTATGGCACAGTGAAATATATTCTTCAATGCTATGTAATTCTGGACTAAGGAGAAGTCTGTTTAAGGCACGTGTCTCAGGGTGAATATTAAAAAACACGACGTTTCATCAAGTCCAGTGTCTGGACATTTAAATTCTGTCTTCAAACAATATGTTGCTCTCGTTGTCCCTGTCTTTGGTGTCCGTGGGGACCATCCCGTTCTCCAGCCCCGCCGGCTGCTGGGCGCAGTCAGTCAATATGGCAGTGCTGGAGTGGTCCGAATTGCAGATCTTTTCTGTCTCCTCCTCTTTCTTCGCTTCGTCCAGAGAGTAATTCCGGAAGGTCTTGTAGATTTTCTGGACGTCCTCGGGCAAGGTCTTCTTGATGTCCTTGTTTTTCCTCTTGGTGAACTTGGAGGAGGACCCGAACTTGTTGATGATGTTGTCCTCGGAGGCGCCCTGCCCGTGTTTGTTGAGCTGCTCCGGTCCTTTCAGGCGCAGGTTGTTGGGCCGGTTGTTGATGCTCTCCTGGGAGGAGGCCTTGAAGCGGCCCGCATCCAGCGAGGAGAAGACGGAGCGCTTCTCCGGGGACAGCATGTCGAGCGAGTGTGCCCTCTGGTCCAGGCCCAGGCGCCGGCGCTCCATGCTGCGGATGGTGGCCGCCCGCTGCAGCTTGTCGTGAATCTCCACGCTGAGCCGGCGCCGGGTCTCCCGGAACTCGGCTGTCACGTTGGCCTTCCACTCGGCTGCGTGGGCCTTGATTTCACCCACCTGGCAGGCACAGAAGAGCAAGAGCACACTGAGAAATTCCTCTCTGCACAAGCCACCCAGTGCCCACTGCCCTACTGTGTCCCAAAGGGAAGGCTGGCTGGGGGTCACCTGGAGCACAAGCCCAGGGCCAGGGGTGAAATGCCACCTCTGGCCTAGTGCCTCCTGCCCCCTACATCCCCGTCTCAGTTTGACTCCTGATTAATGAGGCTCAGGGAGGCACAGGTGCTGGAGAACCAAGGGAAGCTTGAGTTTGGAGATGGGGACTGAAGGAGAAGCGCAGGGCATTCTGGGGGGAGAGCAGTGTTCTGAGTTGGACAGGCGTGTAGAGTTCCAGTGATGTGCCCATTCCCTCTTTAACAGTATGGCCTCATTCCTCGGACATTGCTGGGGTAACGAGTCTAGCCGATGGAGTTTTTAGTATCGTGTGGGATAAAGACGCTCACCTAGCTCAGTCCTGGACACAAAACAGATACTCAGAGGCTCCTTTGCCCACTCCCTCTCCTTCCATTGCCTCTATCTGGGTAGGGTGACCAATCTGTCCCAGTTAGCCTGCAACTGTCCTGGTTTTAAAAGGGAAAGTCCTGTGTCTTAGGCACCCCCTCTGTCCTAGGAAAACTGGGACAACTGTGACTCCTGGTCCTCCTATATCTGGGCCATGCTATGGTCTTGTGTTATCGGGCTTATCGTGGCTTAAGAAGACCCTCCTGAGCATCCTGGTCAGAAGGCAGGGAGGCTCAGAGGGAGGGTTATCAAATCTCTGGGTTCTTATTCAGTTGGGCAAACAGTACAAGCCCCACACTTTCCTGTACACATGAGGAACTCAGAATTTTGCATTGAAGAAAGTCAATACTTATGTTGCTACTTTCTTTGATTATAGCTGGTTTTCCCCAGGTCGATTAGCTACCTCGGAAATCAGACTGGGTGGAGACTGCATTGCCCGTGTTTTTGTACGCCAGGAAAACTAACATTGTGCCCAGCAATGAGACGTCAAGTTTCTCCACTCAGCAACCTTCTCCCGACTCTTCTATGGAGAATGACTGTGTTCTGGGACGGGAACAGGAGCTGTCCAAGAGGCTGACCCTCTTTTTATTTCTTGGTAGATTTTTTTAATCCCCTTCCTTTTTTCTAAACCTCTTCCCCTAGAATTCACTTGCCTCCTACTTTCTTCTTTTCCTCTCTTCCTAGAGGAACCACGTGGGGTTTATTTTTTTAAAACTCCGAGAAGAATCTACCTTTCCTTCCTAGGCCTTCCTTGCCTCGCCTTTGCGTGGGTTTTCACGCGTGTTTACATGTGGGAGTAAAGGCTGCGTGCTCCTGGGATACAATCATCTCTGCAGATCAGACAACCAAGAGGGAAGAGAGGTGAAAGGGACCCCTTGCGTTCACTTCCCATGGCTGACCACTGCTCAGTGACTTCAGTCTCGTATGGAATCAAGAAAGATTTGTGGCTTTCATGTGCGTTTCCATACAGACCTCGCAGCCTGAAGGACAGGCGTGCCTTCTCACACATTTGATGAATTTTCTAAGCCTCCCCCACATATTTTCTGACAAGGGGCAGTTACACACCTCTCTGAAACACTGTCTACTTCTGTTGACTATTTCTATGTTTTTCTTTTCCTTTTCATTCCATTTTTAAAACTAGGTTGTTTACTAGTCTTTTCCAGAATCCGTGGGCTGGTGAGTCACCAGGTTTTCCCACCTGCCCAAAAGGATCCAAGAATAACTGCTGTTCCATTGCATTTGGCTTTTAGGTACTGATTCCAAACAAGGAAGCCTGTGAGCCCCCCACTTTGTAAGAAACATTCTAGCCCCCAGAATAGAGACAGGAAATGGTTGACACGAGTTCATCTGGTCTCGGGAACATGCGTAGAATCTGGAAGGGGTCCTACCTCTTCTTTTGTCTTTTTGGACAGAACCCGTAGCCAATCTCCGATCATACTGAGGACCGCTGCAAAGTAGGCAAGGCCAACAAGGATCCAAAACCACACTAGGGGCTTATACCACTCCCGGTAATGGATGCCAGCATTTCCCCCTGAAAACAACCAAACGTTACTTTAGGCAGGATCTAGCATATGGTCTTTGCAGAGCAGACATATTCCGGTCCCTGTAGTGGAAACGTCACCCCATCCCCTTCTAACACTCGGCCATTCATCCTGCTGTATACAAGACATGCTGGGGGTTGGAAGTCAAAGAAAAGACCTGTCCCACCCCCAAAGGAGCCTGACTTGTGGCCAAACTTCTCTACATTCTTAACCACTAACCACAGTGCCCGTGACAAAAATATATCAGTGACCAACCTGATATACTTAGTCTCCACCTGAGGTTGGCAATGAATGGCTTGAGCTAGAGGACAACAGATTAGGCCCACCTATCTGTCAATTTTCCCTTGAACTTCTTTAAATTGAATAAAAATAAACACCATTAAGTCATCGCAAATGGTTCGGAATCCATGGAACTGTTTCCTTCCTAAGCGCACATGCATTTACCGAGAGCTGAGTGTAAAATTAGACTTAATGGCTTTCCTGAGACTTTGATCCAAGTCGCAGTGATTTAATGCTAACTGAGGGCTGGTGTGTACATGATGCTAATCCAAAGGGTCAATTAGACTGAGTAATGGGAACCACCAGGACCACGCTAGAATGAAAAAGGACCCGCCAGTCCAATCCCTGTATTATAAATAGGATTACAGGAAAAAAATCCATCAAACCAAATTGGCCCATTGCCTGATTGCATTGACTGGCTGTTGAAAGGACCAGTCATTTATCCCAAATAATTAGCCTATTTATTCGAGCCTTTCTGGGGGCACTGCCAAAGGTAGCCATGCAAAATAGTATCCAAGCCCAGCCCCGTCTCCTAAAGGAGTGGGGACATTCCATGAAGTATCTCTGTGAGACCTGCCGCCCAATGAACCAGGCAAGTGGCTGTTTCTAAGACAACCGACATTAGCAATGGATCGGCAACTATGCCATCACATGACAACCGATGACTAGTCTTTCCCACTGGGTCCTGCCTGCAACCTCATCTAGCACTACTGAGTCCACACTGCATCCTTATGGGATGAGTAACACTGATCCTGCTTCCCAAAGGCAGCAGGGCAGGCACTGTAGCCTGTATCTCTTCTCAGTGCAACCAAATTCATTTTTTAAAAAAATTTTAATTACAGCGTACTTTCAGTATTATTTTGTATTGGTTTCAGGTGTAAGGCTTAGTGGTCAGCCAATCACAGACTGTACCAAGGGCTCCCCCAGATGCCCAGGACCCACTGGGCAGCGCACAGTAATGTTACTGCAGTATTATTGACTATGTTCCCTAAGCTGTACTTTACATCCCCATGACTATTTTTGAAGTACCAATTTGTACTTCTTACTTAATCCTTTCACCTCTGTCTCCCAGGCCCCCAACCCTCTTCCACTCTGGCGACTCACTTTTCAATGCAGCCCATGAGGTCTCAAGAGCTACTGCCATTTCTTAACATTAGAATTTCACACATTGTTAAAGGGACTCTGTGACGAGCCCCCTTGGTTTGCTTTAGCTGCCTTTGTTTTTTCCCTTTGGCAACTCTCCTCCGCAGCTTTCTCTGGGATGCTCCTGGAGTTTCTGCCACACTGAGTGGCTTTTGAGGTTCGTTTTGTCTCTGCGCTTGGCCAGAGATCCCTGCAGCTTTGTCCATTGGGGCTGAGAGCAAATACTGATCTCAGCCAGTTGCCGTCACCCAACAAAGATTGTCACTAGGGTGCGCTAGCGAACAACACATTAATCCCCCCACCCCTGCCTCTTCCCTCATCATCTGCGAGCCCAGAATTCAAAGCTTTTCCGTGTGCTCCCAGCCAGACCTGTGAGAGGTTATGATGTTGTTCACTGTCCTGAAGTGAGTCAGCTACCAAATAAACCAGCGCAGCACCTGGTGTGGTGATTGGCGTGTTCCAATTACATTTCCAGTAGAGTTGCTACTGTGTTAAATCACAGCCACCATCAACTCTGTTAATATACCTTTTTAAAGGGCCGGGTACCCTGCCCTTTTTTTAGGGTACTGCCCAAAAAAGCTGCAGTAAATGTCCAGTCACTTAAGGCATTCCCCAAACCAGTCTATGCAAGCCTGGGAGCTGGAGAAGGGCCTGGTGTAACTGCAGGCAGCACTGTGGACTGTAAGGGACCCCTGTCCGAAGACCTCAGGACAAAGGAAATATGGCTCTGGGACCAGTGGTGAACGCGGGAATTAAAACAGCCCCGGCAGTGCCTGTGACAGTGGAGGCCACGCCTCACTAGGGCAGTAAAGACCTGCGCTAAGTGCTCACAGTCTGTGTGCCTAATGCAGACAAATAGAAATCAAGTAATTGTAAGTGTCCTGTTCCTGGGGCTGTGCCACTTGTGCCCTGGACTGACAGATTACCATCAGATTGAATTGAGCAGTGTTACGGAGCAGGGGTGTTTACAAGTGTCCTCTAGCTGGCAGGCCTCCACGGAGCCTGGGGTGGCACAGGGTGCTCTGAGGCACCGTGCAGCGCAGACTGTGCTCGGGGGACTGGAAGATGCTTGCGGAAGGGTTCCAGGTGCCAGCTGCCATCACAGCCTTCACTGGAGCCTCAGCCGAGTGGTACCACAGACCAGCTCCAGACAATACTAAGGGATTAGTTGGACGACTGTCCCCTTATTTTTCTCAGTCTCTGTGCTTCTCTCCAGAGCTACGGGCCCCTAATCAGGTGGCACCAGGTGACTTGTGCCCCAAGGTGAGTGGCTGCCCAGGGGTTGAGTGCTGTGCATAAAGGAAGGTCAGTGGGTCCCAGGCTTTTTATACACAGTGTGTTGTCACCTCGACTTTGCAATTCTTAGTCCTTAGTCAATAAGATGAAAGAAAACAATAAAATTGCTATTTCTACACAGCAGACAGCAATCTTCTTCACCGGTCTGGTTGGAACAGCTACAAGGCCACTGGCTGTCTGCACCACAGACAGAATTAATGAGGGGGCGCTCGCGCCTCGTGATTAGCCCCCATCACCCCTCCAAAATCTCCTGTTCTCCAGATTCCCAAGGACCTGGTCCCTGTCCTCACATGCAGCGTACTCCCACGGAGAGGCCAAGGCACAGCCACAATGAGGTGCCAAAGGAAGGACAGTTGGCCCGGGAAGTGCAGCCTGCAAACGTTCAGGCTGCTGCTTAACCGGGAACTGGTCAAGGCCACACACACACATCAAACGCTCTGAACCTAGGATGGAGGTGTTGGACCAAAGCCCCCACTCCTTGGAGTGAAAAGGGATCCACAGACAGTCTGACTCCCTGGAACTCCCCCATTAGGAAGGAGAAGGGCAGCCTCCTCTTTCTGAACCTGCCTTCCTCGCTCACTCCGGGAAAGCGGTACATGCAGGAAGCCAGAACTCAGGTCTTTTTCAGCTCCCTGTCCCTACGTGAAAGTGGTGGTGGTCTTCTTTTGCTTCCATAAACCCAGCCCATTGGTTCTTCTTTTCAAAATGAAGGCTATTGCTTCCACATACATTCATGCAGAACCCACTGTGCTATATTCCCTTAGGGGGCAGTTCTCTGCTCCCCATGGTCAAGTGGGTCCTAAGCCTCGTGGACATGCCCAGGATGACTTTTTCAGGGACAATGGCCCTCGCCTCAGTGGCAGGAGGAAGCTTACACTGCAGACCATTGAGACTAAGCTCTGTGTTAATGTCTCCAGAGTCTCACATCTGCCACTTGCTGATATAGCCTTTATCAATTGATTCAAGGAGCCTTAATATAATTGAGAAGTCCAGAATGCAATGAGACATTCATTTCACTCCTGCATAATTCATATGACGATGAGGACGATATGCATCCTGGGGAGGGGGAGGCTGGCTTTCCTCTCACAGGAGAAGGCTGATGCCGTTTAGATCCCAGAGGGCCACGGGCTAGAAACGAGCCCGTGCACAGCAGTAGGGACACTGAGCCTTTTCTGTTCGCTTCCCCCACAACTCATTTTTCTCATGGTTTGGAAAAGCACTGCCAACAAAGTGTTTCCACCACCCACAGGGACCCTGGGGACCGTGGGGACCCGGGGCACTCACCTGCCACAAAATCACCAAAGCCCACCGTGGTGAGAGTGATCACCACAAAGTAAATGGACTCCAAGGCTGTCCACCCCTCGATGTGTTTGAAGACGAAGGCGGGAATCGTCACGAACACAATGCAGCCGGCCAAGATGAACAGGATGGTAGAGATGACCCGGATCTTGGTCTGACTCACTTGTTTTTTCTGGGAACGGCAGAGGAGAAAGACAAGTCAGCTTCCTCACCCTGGATCCAGGAGGCAGAGATACAGAAGAAAATGTACTGTGTCGGTGGCTTTCTTTACTGAATGTGTTGGGGTGGCATTGGTTAATAAAATTGGACAGGATTCAGGTGTACAGTTCTATCATACATCATCTGCACATTGTATTGTGTGTTCACCACCCCCAACAGTCTCCTTCCATCACCATTTTTCCCTCCTTGACCCTCTGCTTCCTCTCCCCGAACCCTTATCCCTTTGGTAATCACCACACCGTTGTCTGTGTCTATGAGTTTGTTGGTTTGTTTTTTTGCTTCATTGACCCTGTTTCACCCAGCCCCCCAGTGCTCCTCCTCTCTGACAGCGTTGGCCTGTTCTCCGTAGGAGTCCACTTCTATTCTGTTTGTTAGTCAATCTCAGCCTTCGAGACAGCGTGGAGGGACCTGGAGAGCATTACACTCAGTGGAATAAGCCAGTCAGAGAAGGACAAGTACCATATGATGTCACTCATAGGTGGAATCTAATGAGCAAAACTGTCAGTGACTTTTAACCTCCCCTTGGTCATGGGCAGTCAGGTTTGTGAGAATCTGATGGAAGCTGTGGACTTGACCCTAGAAAAATGCACATCCAGGTGGTTTCAGGTATTCTAGGGGCTCTCAGGCCCCCGGAAGCCTGCTCACGACTCCACTTAGCTCATGCCTTGACTGTCCTCTGCGTGGCTCTGTGACCACGAGCGCCATGCTGGTCCTACCTCCCTCACCAGTGCAAATGTGAATTCCCAGGAAGGGCCTGTGGTGTCTGGGTGGGGAGCTCTTTGCACAGGGAGGGAGATGGAGCTCTACCCAGTTTCCTTTGCATTGAAGGGAATCTGTTGGGGGAGAAAAATGGCTGACCTGAAGCAGGCCAGAATGTTTGTCCGAAAGGAAAAAACATAGCCACCCCCATCCACATTTGTGACCGACTCCAGGCAAGCATCTGTGCGCTTCCTCACCTCCTTCCCCCAGCTGAGGGTGGGCGTTTGTCGCACACTTTTAAACACCCACGTCTGAGCTGGTGCTGCGGTCACCGTGTGTGGGGGCTGCGTTACCCCCACAGGGGCCAGGACAGGAGAGGCCGTCAGAATGACAGGGTCACTGTCTAAAACGGGCAGTAGGCACGTCAGCTGACATCAGCTTCCGAAGGAGTCGACAGTGAAGAGGCAAAAATGCACTCGGAGGGGGAATCACGCTGGCGTTGGGGTAGAGCAATCATACCAATGGAGGCGAGAGGCGGACAGGAAGCACCACTGGGGTCCCCTTGAATGCACCCCCAACGGCCTCGGCTTTGCCTCCAAGCTGAACGAGCCTTTCGGACTCAAAGCTCCCAGGATCGGCACTGGAGATCACCTTCAGGAGGCCCTAGTTCCGTAACTCACCAAACGACATACTCTCGCCAATGTATCTTTAACACCAGAGCGCATGGGCCTTTCCATGCCTCCTGCACTGATTTTCTGCAAAAGCGCCCCACATTTGGGGCAGTCGATATAGGAAACCCTTACCATGTGATCTATTTTCCAGTCGTGGCCGTCTGGTGGATTAGAAAGCAGACGACCTCAGAGCGCAGAGAGACCTCTGCGTTCATAAACCTCATTTCCAGGCGCAAAAACAGAAGCCGAAAGGGGTTCGGGGACTTGCATAAAATGAAGCTGCTAATTAAGGGCAGAGCTGAGAATAGAATCCTGAGGTGGTTAAGTCTCAGCCCGGGGAGTAATGAAAGAAGCCCAGACACAGCTTTTCAAGTAATTCAATAATTCACCAGCTCAGACAATCTTGCCAGCGCCCTCCCCCGACGAAAGAAACCAGACTAGCCTCCGGGAAGAAGAGGCCACGCGGTCTCCCCTGTGGGGAGGGAGACAGACTAAAAAACTGTCACTGGACGATCTGTCTTGAGGCTTCAGTCACGGCAGTGACACCTGGGCCAGGTTGCCCAGGACAGACTTCTCAGGTCGGCCTGTGACTCCACCGTGGAAATGACTAGGTCTCAGAGGCCTGAAGCTTGACTTCGGTCCTGTCTCCCTTCCTACCACCCGCCTCGTCCTCCCTGATTTGGGGGGAGAAACATGGATGCTGCCTCTTCCCTGGAAAGCCCCCAGGGATGAGGGGGGAGAGGGGATGAAGCTGCTCTCCCGGTGATTAAGCCTCAAAACCAGGCAGTGCCACCCGAGGGGGTTCCTGAGTCCCAGGTAAAGTCAATATGGCAAAATGGAGAGGGCACCAAGGTGAGTAAGACGGTTTGAGCAGAGAATGTTTATGCACACATCTGAATCAGCACTATTCACGCTCCAGTTACCAGATCGATATATTCCCTCAACATGCGTAGGAAAAGCTAAAAAACTGCCGCAGCCCTTCTTCGTGAAAAGAAGTCATGTACTCTCAGTCCCAGCAGGACGCTCGGTGTGCAAAGGGAAAACGGAAAAATAGTTTGATTTATGAGCTTATACGGTCCCTGCCCATCTCCTCAGAAAAACCATCTGAAAAAAAAGACATTTTACTGATATTTTTGAAACTGCATATGAAATACCATTTTTCCCCACAAATAAAAGTATTATGATAAAAGAGATGACCTGAGAACCACAGGGAATGTTCTACCCGTCCCACGAATTTCCACATTGTATATTACAGGAGGACTTTGTGGAGGCAGCTGGACCCCTGTCAGAATCCGGGACCTTAGTTACTATGAGCCTAGTTTTGTGTGCAGACATGTGCAAATATCCCAAAAGTGGATCTTCCCAGACCGTTCAGTTCATCTAATTACCGGCCATGGGAACATCATTCCCCACCCCATTGATAAATCGTCCTCCTCAAACACACAATGAAATTAAAGTGAATTAAATGTTTTTGAGACACTTGTCAAGTCACATGTTAAGAGGAGAATGCAACTACACACAGGATGAGGTTGAGGTTGTGGAAATGAGTGTGGCAAGTCCAGGGGAAGCTGTAGACATTCTCGGGCTCTCGGGGGTGGGAGCGGGGAAGGGGCAGAGGGAAGGTGGCCCAGGACAGGCATTGTTTGGTGGCAGAGAGGGAGGTGTATGACAAAGCCCAGACCCTGCTGTCTTTCTTCATTGCATTATCTGTTGGAGAGTTTCTCAGCAAGGTCAACATCCGCACTTCCCGCTGCCCGTGACAACATGTGGGTCCCTGGGCTGCTTCATCTAGACATCTTGGGGTGATGCTTACAGAGGGTTTGGGGAATTCAATCCCTGGACTATTGGGGGGACTTGAGAAATCAAGTGTCGTGTGTGTGTGTGTGTGTGTGTGTGTGTGTGTGTAATGCGAATACCCATACTTCACTGTGAAAGGAAGAGGTATGAGTGTAAGGTTTTATCAGTGTCTGTTATTCTGGATGCTCATGTTTTTTTGCTGCCATTTAGATATTTTTTAAAAGTTGCCTTAATTGAATGGTAGCTTTCAAAATATAATCACAAACTGTTTTATACTTTATCTGGTGATCTTTGGGCTTCTTAGCCTCATTAGCTGCGCAACTAGTCGGTCCTCTTCTAGAATGGTGTTTGAGAGCCTGGGGTTTAGAGGCAGGCTGACTGCCTGAGACACATTCCATTCCCTCTGAGAAATAGCTGAGTGACCGCGGGCAAGTGTCTCAGCTTCTCTGTGCATGTTTCTTCCTCCATAAAATGGAGAGAGAAGAACCCACCTCACAGGACTGTTTGGAAGATTACATCAGTGCATCAAAGCTTAGTACCTGCGAAGTGCTCAGTGATTGTTAATGACCATTTTTGACATACAAGCTCACATATTCCCTTAGATGCAAACACTCCCAGGCCAAAGCGACCCTTGCCTGTTGAGGAATGTCCCCTCGTGGCTGACTTGCGATAATCTTTGTTCCACTTCAGGAGGTCTTTGTCGGTGGTCCCTGCCTGGATTCATTATCTCATATAGTTACCTCATTTTTGGTAAGAGAGAAGTCTTCATTGGTTCCTCTATGCTGACTCCAGATCGAGTTATCAGACAGTTTTAGGTCACAATCTTGAAAGCTTTTTTCATTTGTCTTTCAATTAATTTGCCCCAAACTCTTGACCATCCTTCTGAAACTGCCAAGAATCGCAGATAATGTGTGCAATGTCAGGAACCAGCTGCAGAGGGACCCTCAGAGCCACTGCTTGGCTTTCCTCGCCCCACCCCCCCCCCCCCCCCCACCGCCCCCAACCACCACCACCACCTCCACCTCTTAGGGAGTCAAGGTCTGTTTCCACAGTGGGGTTGCCAGGTGAAATCTCATTGCTTATTTACCAGTCAGCAGAGCAGCTAGCAAAAAGCTTTCCCAGAGCCCAGATCTGACTGAGCTAATGTCTTCTTGGACTGGCAAAACTGTGACCCCAGAAAAGGTGGTTTGATACAGTATTTGGGCAGAAGTGATAGGACCATTGTGTGTATCTGTCCAAACCAGTCCACTTTGTTGGTTGTAATAGATAATATTTCCTTTCCTTCTCCTTGTGCAAATAGTATTATGCAAAACTACCTCCTGTGTCCGATGGATACCAAGTATAGGAATTTTTGAAGAACTCAAACCCTACCTCCTGCAGAGTTCATTGAATTGTCAAAATTATATGTGTGATTATTTCAAAGGGTGAAATAAGCTTCATAAACAGGAGCAGGCGGGACAGCTCTGGGATCTCTGCTCCAAGAAAAGGACGAGAAAAGGATGAATGCGCTGACGGTTCTGGAATGTTGATACATCTCAGACCTCAGGGGGCCAAGCCACACGTCCAGGTCTCAACAAGCACAATGCCCTGCCTGTGGTTGTGGACTTCCACAACCTTATTTCAGAGAGCAAGTATCTTCTATTCAGCTGTGGGCTGTTTTGTTCCTTGATTTTTACTCCCTTTCCAATGGTCTTTTTTTTTTTTTCCATTTTTATGTGCCTTCTTAGCATTCTAAGAATAGCAACACAAATGGTTATGTCTGGCTGAGAAATTGGGTACTTGTGAT